AGTGTGGCAAAGGCCAAAGCCACCAAGGACTGGGGAGCAATTGAATTACTGGAGGAAGTTTATAGAAACTGCTACTCTTGACCTCATTGTCTTCAGACTCAGCCCCCAATGATAACTACATAGGACTGGTGTTGCTCCCAGTCACAGAGGGCAGGTTTGCTGAAACCACTGATTCCACAGGGCATTGCCCTCTACTTTCTTCCTGTCATATCCCTGTGGCATAAAACTCTGTGGATTTGTGTCAAGAGACATTCCCCTAAGTCAAGAGTATCTTGCATGGCTGCCTTCTGCCTGGTCAGTGCAGGGAGGTGTCCACAGGAATCTGGAGATGTGCTTGTGCCTGATTTTCTGACTCCCAGAGCAGTATAAATCTCGGTGGGAATTTTTCCAAGATGATCCTGGCTATAGCTGAGAGATGCAGTGAGATCTCCAAAGCTTGCTTCTTGTGCAGACTCTAGCTCACTTATTTATTTAAGCTGTTTATGTGTGGGAGGCAGATTTCTGAGTCAGGCTCTGGCCCTTTGTCCTTTACCCCCAAGAGAGGTGCCAAGTGCTGGGGTATTCCACTTCTCCTGCTTTGTTACTCTCTGGATTTTACTAAGATTCATTTTCTCTGCTGACAGTTTCAAAAAGGTTACCCTTGGCCATTCACCTCCTCAAGCAGTTACACGTCTGTCGCTGTTTCCATTCTGTGGAGGAACAGTTTTGTGTGGGATACTCATCCTGCCATTTTCCAGACCTTCTGAGAAACGTTTTTAAAAATATTTGTTCTTTTTAGATATTCAAGACATTAGAGTACACTTTTTAAAATTTTTTTAGTTGTTCATGAACCTTTATTTATTATTATTTCTTTATATGCAGTACCTCACACATGCTAGGCAAGCATTCTGCCACTGAGCTATGACCCCCCAGCCCCTAAAATATACTTTGACATATTATGTATACATGGAGTGTAATTTTTAAATGCATATTTTAAAAATATTTTTAGTTGTAGATGGACCCAATACTTTTGTTTTTTTTGTGGTACTAGGGATGGAACCCAGTACCTCACATGTGCTAGGTAAGCACTGTACCACTGAGCCAGAGCCCCAGCCCTAAATGCATATTTTTAAGTGAAAGACTCCAGTCTCAAAAGGTCACATATTCTGTGATTCCAAATATGCAACTTTCTGGAGAAGGCAAGATCACAGTGATTGGCAGGAGTTCTAGACTGGGAAAAGAGGAGTAGGTAGATCAAATGGGATTTTTAGGGCAGTGAAGCTACTGTCTCTGGTAACAATGATAGTGGATTCATGGCATTATATATTTGTCAAAGCCCATAGAGCTGGACAAACCAAAGAGTGAACTCCAATGTGGAGGTTAGTAAATAATGCATCAATATTCATTCATCATATACAAATTTATTCCTCTAATGCATGATGTTAATAATAAGAGAAACTCTGGTTGTAGAGGCAGCATTTAGGGAACTCTACTTTCTTCATAGTTTTTCTTTAAGCTAAAATTGGTATAAAAACAAACTTTTATTATGTGATTCTAGAATTGAACTAGAGGTACTCTACCATTGACCACATCCCCAGCTCTTTTAATATTTTGTTTTGAGATAGGGTCTCTCTAAGTTGCCCAGGCTAGCCTCCAATGTGATTCTCGTAATTCAGCCTCCTGAGTAGCTGGGATGACAAGCGTGGTATATACCTGGCTATTTTTTAAATGGACAAAGGATTTGAATAGGCATTCCTCCAAAGATGTTACACAAATGACCAATTAGCGCATGAAAAGATGCTCTACATTAGATAAGTGCAAATGAAAACTACAGAAAGATATCACTACACATGGACTAAGTGATTGTAAACAACACAGATAATAAGTGTCATTGGGGATGTGGAGAAATTGGAACCTCATATATTGATGGTAGGAAGGAAAACATGGTGCATTATGGAAAACAATTGTTGTCCACCATGTAAAACAATTTGGTGGTTTTGGCAGAGGAAGGAGGATTGCAAATTCAAAGCCAGCCTCAGCAACCAAGGTGCTAAGCAACTTAGTGAGACCCCGTCTCTAAATAAAATACACAATAGGGCTGGAGACGAGGCTCAGTGGTCCAGTGCCCCTGAGATCAATCCCCAGTGCCTCTTCCCCCACCAACAAAAGAAACACACAGGCAAGGTAGTTAGAGAGCTTCCAGGCCCTCTTTTGAAATCCAGGTGTGTCACCCTCCCAGATATCAAGTGTTTACCAGGAAGAAGCACCTCTGGGCTCTGTAGCCCAGATTTTTTATATGGGGTTATGCAGATGTGATTGGTTATATTATTTTACTCTTAGAACATTCCTTGGTATACAATAATCATTATGCAGATGTGATTGGTTATATTATTGGCCATATAATTGAACTGCAGTTCTTCTTTCTTCCCCAGGTATTGGGGAGCCAGTGTGGCTGAAATTTTCAACTCTAATTACATGGTTGATTTTTTGGTGAACAACTCACACACCTGAGATTTATCTATGTTGCTGAATGTACCAACAGTCCGTTCCTTTTTACTGCTGTGTAGTATTGCATCATATGGATATGCCAGTTTGTTCATTCACCTGTTGATGGACATTTGGATAGTTTCTAGTTTGGGGGGTATTACAAAATAAAGCTTTCATAAACATCCATACAGTGGCCATTTATGGACTTTTTTTTTCCACTTACTTGGAAGAGAGGAATACCAATGGGCCTGAGAGAAAGTCACTGAATCCCAGACTACAGATAGAGTGGACTGACGTGGCCCAACCCCAAGCAGTCTCCTCTTTGCTTGACTACAAAACTTTAGAATCCAGGTTCTTCTCCCCAGGCATGAACACCCAACTAAGCATGAAGGAGAGTGATTATGCATTTTGTTTTGTTCCATTCCAGGGATGCATTCCTTCTTGGGATTCATGTTAATTATATGCTTCAAGCATAGTTTAACACTAATATAAAAATGAGATTAAATATACGTTAATAAGTATAAATCATAATTTACCTTTTAATCATGCTTTATCTTTTTACCCCATCCCTCGTTCCTCCTATTCACCCTCTGTGCCTGGAACATAGTAGGTTCTTTACCAGTTAGTGATAACACCTTACATAGAATTATGAGATTAGGAAGACAGGAATTAAGAATTTGATAGAATTTAGCAAATGTTCAGTCAGGGAGAGAAAATTAAATCCTAATTTGTACATATTGTGGAAGTCCCAATGACTTATCTCTGAGGGTGGGTAGAGGGAGAGAATGGCAGGAACCAAAAGCTTGCCAAGAAGTCTAGTACCACCTGGGCACCTTGGTCAAGTTGTTCAATATCCCTATACTTCAGACATTTCAACTTGGGGGAACAATAGCACCTATATCACAAGTTTGTTTTCATTGGATTAAGTTATTTAGTTTATGGAAAACTCTTAGAACATTCCTTGGTATATAATAATCATTATCTAAGTATTAATTGTAATTATTAAGGTGATGGCAATCTGGGAACTATCATCTTTTAAAACCAAAGAAATGCAGGTTGGGCACAGTGGCACATGCCTGTAATCCCAGTGACTTGGGAAACTGAGGCAGGAGGATCACAAGTTTGTGACCAGCCTCAGCAAATTAGCAAGGCTTTAAGCAATATAGCTTGTCTGAAAATTAAAAATATAAAGGTCTGGTGCGCTGGGAATGTGGTTCAAGCGGTAGCGTGCTCGCCTGCCATGCATGCGGCCCGAGTTCGATCCTCAGCACCACATACAAACAAAGATGATGTTGTGTCTGCTGAGAACTAAAAAATAAATATTAAAAATTCTCTCTCTCTCTCTCTCTCTCTCTCTCTCTCTCTCTCTCTCCCCTCTCTCTCTCTCTCTTTAAAAAAAAAAAAAGATGTTTTGTCCACCGAAAAATTAAAAAATAAATATTAAAAAATTATCTCTCTCTCTTTAAAAAAAAAAAAATATATATATATAGGACTGGTGATATAGTTCAGTGGTAAAGCACTCTAAGTTCAATCCCTAATGCAAACAGAAAAAAAAAGAAAAAGAATAAATGCAAGAAATATGAAGAGAGTGAATATTGAAGACTGCAAACATTTGGCCATTTGAAAAATACATTTTTAGTGAATAAGGATGACTAAAACCAATAATTACTAATGTTGATTTTTTCCTTTGTAATAAGTATTTTGCTAAAGATCTTTACATGTAAGAATCCCTTCAGTACTATGAGGTAGGCAGTATTTTGTCCACATTTTACAATTAACAAACCGAGCAAAGGAACCTGTTTAAAGACTCAGCTAATGACTGATGGAGTCAGAATCTTGAATCTGATCCCTGTGCTTTATTTTAGTGCTATGGTAAATCACACTACTATTTACTTACTGACTGTATTCCTGGGATGAAACAGGAAGTTGGGTGAAAGGAAGTTAACATTTCAGGTAATTCTGTGGATACTATAAAACTTGGATCATTGACACTTGTAATTATGAAACAGTAGCTGAGACTAATTTAGAAAGAAAATTTTTCCATAATTTTTCAGAAGTATTGTCTTTTCTGGTCCTACTGGTCAACAATGAACTTTTTCCTAAGAGCACACTTCTGCCCGGGTAGTGTAATTGATACCATTTTGCTGAGGGCCATTACCAAGTAGGAATGACACATCGAAATTGCCTTAATTTGTTATCTGAAGGACAAAATAGTTTGGGGCTTTTGGATCCCTTCCGAAGTCTGTATACATTGCTTTATTCCCTTCTAGAAAGAAATGTCACAGTGTAGAAGAAAGCCTGTAACCAACCTTTTTTCTCCTTTGGAGATGATTTGCTATCTCTGCCTGAAATTCAAGAAAATGCCTTATTATTGGGGAAAAGAAATGTTACCAGGTTTTATCTTAGTATTGATTTTTCCCCCTAATACAGAGTACCCCTTCAGTTGTCAGACCTTATGCCGTTATTTGTTCAAATACATTTTCATCCATTCATTCTCTTCCTTTTTCTGAAGGACAACATTATATTCATTTGAATTACTTTTTCTGCCTTCCATCTTTTTATTATGAAATATATATGTATAACATAAATTGACCATTTTAACCATTTTGAAGCATTAGTTCAATGGCACTAAGTATATTCACAATATTGTACAATCGTTCACCATGCAATACAGGTCCAGAACTTCATCATCCCAAAGAGAAACTGTGTCCATTAACAATAACTCCCTGCTTTTCCTCTCCCTGATAACATCTATTCTACTTTCCCTATGAACTTGACTATCCTAGGTACCTTATGTAAACGAAATCACACTGTATTTGCCCTTTTGTACAAATATCCTTGTATAAACCTGCATCTGATTTATTTTCCTTAATATAATGTTTCAAGCTTCATTCATGTTGTAACTTATATCAGAATTTCATCTTTTTTAAGACTGAATAATACTCATTTGTAAGTGTATAACAAAGTTTGTTCATCCACTTAGCTGTTGATGGCCATTTGGATTATTTCAACCTTTTGGCTATTGTTGCCGAAGTGAACTTTGGTGTATAGTTATCTGTATGCCTGGTCCCTGCTTTCAGTTCTTCTCAGCGTATACCTAAAGTGGAATTGCTGCAGCATATGATAATTCCATATTTATTAAAGATTCCACATACTATTTTCTACAGTGAGTGCACCAATTTAACCAGAATGGTTACCTTTATGTTATATAAATTTTGCCTCAAATTTTTTTTCTGAATGTTTTGTTCTATAGCACCCTATTCTGCCTCGTGGTTGTTATATTTTATATGAACTCTTTGAAGATGTTTTTGTCCCTGAAAACTCACAGTTCCTGTCTAGTTTCTTTCTCACATAATTGGCATTTCAGGGATATCCAATAATGCTAAATAGCTTGCTCACCTTCAAGAGAGGGAGACAATAAGCTAAGGCAAGTGCTGGTCACTGGGTGGCGCTCTGGTTTGGTTCTAGAATAGTCCCCAAAGGCCCAAGTATTAAAGGCTTGGTTCCTGGCTTGGCAGTTTTGGGAGGTGGTGCAATTTTTAAGAGGGGGGCCTTGTAGGATCTTTAGTTCATTGGGGTTGTGCCCTTTAAGGGAATAGTGGGGCCCGAGCTCCTTCTTCTTCCTCTTCTTTCATATCTGGGCCATGCGGCGAGCAGCTTGGTGTGCTGCCACAAGCCCCAAAGCAATGGGGTCAACCAGTCATGGACTGAAACCTCCAAAACCCTGAACGAAAAAAGCCTTTCCTCTTTATGTGTTGATTATCCCAGCATTTGTTGTTGTTTTGTACTGAGGATTGAACCCAGGGTGCTCTACTACTGAGCTACACCCCCAGACCTTTTTATTTTTTGAGACAGGGTTTCACTAAGTTGCCAAGGCTGACCTTGAACTTGTGATCCTCCTGCTTCAGTCTTCCCAGTGGCTGGAATTGCGGGCGTGTGCCAACATGCCCAGACCCAGTATTTTTTATAGTAACAGAAAGTTGACTAACCAGCAGGGCTTTGAACGAGGAGCTCTGTTGCGAGTACTTGGTGGACTTTGTGTTATTAAATAACCAATACTGGAATTTTAAATAATTTTCCTTTTGAATTGGTCAAATTCTTTCTTTTTGGTTTGTTCAGATTCTAAAAACCTCTGGCCTAGTGGTTGAAGCCGTAGCTGTCAGTGCTGTGGAAGCTGAGTCATAAAAAGAGCAGAGATTTAGTTTTTAATGTGAAAGCTGACACAAATATCTATTAAAAGACAAAAACTAAAAGTTACCTTTTTTATATTGACCTTATTGCCCCAAATACTGTCAGCATACATTTTAAATTTTGAGGTATTTATTTTGTAAAATAAATACCTGAGATAGATACTCACTATAAAGACAAAGTGTATTAACCTAGATATACAAAAAAGATCAATAATAATATTTTATATGACAATGAATCACTTTCCTGAACGAAGGAGGATATTCAATATAAGAAAGAGTAAAGAACATTCACAGTAGGAAAAATCATTTACATATTTAGAAACCATGATAAAGTTAACAGAGAAAACTATAAACTATATAGCTCCTTGGGGCAAAGGGTATATCTCAGTGGTAAAGTGCATGTGGAAGCAGGCACAAGACCCGGTTTCAATCCCCAACACTAAAAGAAACCAACCAGCAAACAAAAATTGTAGCCCCTTTCTTGATCTCCAATACAATGGTGTGATTTCTTGGAATAACCAAGATATCCTTTCTATCCACCACGAAGAATGAAAACACTGTCCATATAACAGATGATATGTGATTATCATTTCAAGTTTGTAGACAGGTGATGATTCTTCTATTTTATCCACGGTCATTGAAAACTCTTACTAAAATTCCTGCTAAAAGGACAGCAATAGCCACAGCTAAAGCCATTCCACGATAGAGTATCAACTGTCTCACTGTCAAGACATCCCCAATGGTGGGCACTGCATACTGGTTGTTTTCTTCCAGTGACATGAGTTGGCTGATCTGGCTCTCTGGTCTGATGATATCAGGCAAAATCACTCCATCAGTTGTTTCTCTTTCAAGATTTGGGAGATCTATTTGAAGAAAACAGTTGGGCATTTACTTAACTACTGAGTTAAGGAAAAGGTCATTAGTGGAGTTACATAGCACAGGTTGAGAACAGGTTGTTTAAAAAAAAAAAAAATGACCATTGAGCCGGGCACAGTGGCACACACCTATAATCCCAGCAGCTCAGGAGGCAGAGGCATAAGAATCACAAGTTCAAAGTAAGCCTCAGCAACTTTGAGATGAGATCCTAAGTAACTTAGCAAGACCCAGTCTCAAAATAAAATATAAAAAAGGGCTGGGGATGTGGGTTAGTATATGTGAAATTACTTTACAAAGCATTTCAAAGGAGAGTCCAGAGTTGACCAGGCCAATGGTTACAGCTGAGACAAATTGTATTTAGTAAGAGAGTAGAATCTCATAAACTAAACAACTCTGGCCACATTAAGTTTCAGTCTCTCTAAGGCAGAAATAGAGTATATTAGAAAACAGCCTCTACTACCTGTTGTGGTCTGTAGAGTCTCTTTAGTACCTTTTAGCCCAGCACGAATCTGTGCCTAAAAACAAAATCACATGAGTAAATGAAGTACAAATCAATTCAAGCTGGTAGTCTTTGATTAAAATTTCAATTTAAAGATACTGCTGAGCCACATCAATGTTTATAGCAGCTCAGTTCACAATAGCTACGCTATGGAACCAACCTAAGTGCCCTTCAACAGATAAATGGATAAACAAAATGTAGTATATATACACCATGGACTCTTACTCGGCCGTAAAAAGAATGACCTTCTGATTTTTGCCAGTAAATGGATGGATCTGGAGACTATCATGCTAAGGTAAAATAAGCCAATCCCAAATACCAAAGGTCAAATTTTCTCTTTGATGTGTGGATGCTAACACAACAAGGGGTAAAGGGAATGAAGGGAAGAGAGGGGGATAGGAATAGGAAAAACAATAGAATCGATCAGACATAACTTTCCTATCTTCATATATGAATACCCCACAGTGATTCTCACCATCAAGTACATCCACAAGACTGGGATCCTAATTAGAATAAGTTATACTCCATGTATGCATAAAGTGTCAAAATACACTCTATTGTCATGTACATCTGAAAAAACAAATTAAAAAAAGAAACAAAAACAGATACTACTGAAACTACTGCTAAAGTATTACAATATCTAGTATAGCCTATCTTGGTCCAAAAAATGCCATTTGCCCAAAGAACATAACATCAGGAAACCACAGATTTTCTCCTCATTGTTCAGCTCACCGTTATAAAATAAAAAGCTGATTGTGACTATAGTTGCAAACATAATAGACTATTTACACATTGTGACTATAGTTGCAAACATAATAGACTATTTACACATTGTTCCTACACAAAGATAAAACGAATAAAAGCTAAAGGTAAATGTGTACATCACTGTCTAAAAGTATGGTCCAATTTCATGTCTATATGCTCTATTCACTCAATATAATCAAACTGAGCATAGGAAAGATATACTACATCATTATTAGGCGAATACAAAGGGATCTGAAACCCTTTGTGCAACAGCTGGTACATCTAAGCTTATTCTTGTGTCTCCTCTCTAAGAATCCCTCCCCTAAGCCAGCCACCACCTCATCTCAAGCCTTGACACAATCAAAAGACATCCCTGTTCAACCTACAGATACTCACATTGGTCAACATCACAACCCTCTGCCCCCAGTTACTTCCCACAGATCACATATACTCAACATCCTGCTTTGGGGTAAAAAATGGACAAAAAGTATTTTAAGAGAAGGCTAAAAAAGAGCTCACTGGTATAAATAGGAAACCATATTACTAAGACTATTATACCAAAATAAGAATATGTCCAAGCAAATTCCCTTTGTTTTTTAAAGGTTAATCCCCTGGATGGTAGAGTGGATCCCAATTCAGCTCTAAATTAAGAGAGAACTGTGCTGAAATAGACCTTTCTTCTGGCCTCTCCATCCCACCCCTGGCATGCCACATGCATTTCCTGACTCTCTGAGTCCTAGTACCAGTACCATTTTTTTTTCATTTTCAACCTTATAGATTCCTTACCACAGCATGGGATCAAGTAGATCCACATTTCTAAAACCACACACAGACTGTTACCTGTTCTGCAACTCTATTCCAGTTTGTCCTCAGGATGTATATCAAGTAAAAAAGGGCTTGAAAGAAGACACAAACTATCAGTCCAGACCAGAGACCTGTGGGTATAAAATATTTGAGTATAAGAATTGAGGTTTTCTTCAAAGCTGTTCCTGTGATCATTAAAATTTTTCCAATAATAGTCCATAATCCATAGATCAAAATTTCAATTTAAATTAACTTCCCTAAAATTTTACATGAGCATGGGCCCTGGATTAGAAGCAAATCAACCACTGAGCTATTAATGGCAGTCAACCAGTTAACAATGCAAAACGCCTCTAAAACTGTTCGCTGTTTTATGTGCTGATCTAACAAATACTAACTGCCTTTTTTTTTTTGGGTGGGGGTACCACGTATTGTTTTAAGTGCTAGAGACACAGAATCAAACAGGCAGACAAGGTCAAGGCCCTCAAGGAGCTTACACTGTAGTGGTGGAAGTAAGATAATAAACAAAGAGTAAAATGTGGTGATTTTAAGAATGGCAAGTACCATGACAGACATTGGGCAAAGCCATGTAATAATGTCCTACAGACAGAGCCTGAATGAGTGTCCCAGTGCTCTCTGAGATGGGGACCTGAAGAGTGAGGAGCAGGAAGAGAGATGGTTCAGGATGGGCACTGCAGGGTTCAGGGCCACAGGAGAAGGTCAGTTTGAAAGTCAGTTAGGAAGGAAGCTGGTGGCAGGGACGTAAGTGTACAGGAGAGGAGGTCAGAGAAGCAGGCTACTGTGGGAAGATCCAGGGTTTATTCTCAATCTAATGGGGACCCAAGAAACTGCACCCATATTTGTTAAAACTGTGTGTGTTGGCACAAGGAGGACCTGTTTGTTAATTGCAGAATAATGGATTTTTGTAAAGTAACAAATTGATCACATTTAGAAATTTGTTCTTTCTTTTTAAATTTCTTATCTATAGAAATGTTTGAGTAGAAGTTTAACACAATGCTACATTTGAAATTGTTCAAATCATTAATTGAAGCATGAACTAGACTCCATTTCAAATTTCCTTTCAAAGGAATAGTATGTTTCAAAAATTGTTCTGAATACATATTTAAAGACACGCACAGCTCCTCAAAAGTGACTGGCATAAAATGTGTTGTATTCTGAGATGTTATAAGTTCTTTATGCCCGTTGACAGATTTTCATTATGGGTTGTCATTATGTATTTGTCAAGTTCATTTCACAAGCTTTCTGACCTCCACTCTCTCCCACACTTTCCCATTCTTTCCTTATGTGTAAATTTTCAACACTATATCTTCCCTTTATCATTTTTTTGGAATAAGTGTATTACTCCCTGCTCTGTGAAAAGTCTTGGGTTTGATGAGACCATATGGCTGGGTATATGGCTACCGTTCCTTGTCTCTTCATATCCAGGGCTTTTTCCTCTGCTCCAGAGAGGTGGCCAGGAATGGCTCAGAGACATCAATACCCAGGAAGCTAGGGTTTCTGTAGTTTTCCCCCATCACATCTCTATATAAATTCTGCTGAGCCAGGTCTAGGCATTCCCATTCTTTTTGAGAGAAACCATATCCCTGAATGTCAATGGTTCCTTTACTGATACCCTGTGTTTTCTTACTCTGTACTCCTGCAGCCAATAACTGTAGAGTTGGGTTTTTGTTGTAGTTGTTTCATTTTATTCACAATTTTCGTTAGTTTTGCTGGGGAGTACATTCATGGAGCTCTTCACACTGCCATGCATTTATTTCCTGGCTTTCAGGGTGCCTAGCTTTCTCCCTACAAATTTCTTAAATATTAACAGAGAGGAATTTATCAGCTCAATAAAAGACAACTTAGGGCTAGGGATGTGGCTGAGGGGTAGAGCTTCTTGCCTAGCATTTGCGAGACACTGGGGTTTGATTCTCAGCACTGCATATAAATAAATGAATAAGGGCTGGGGATGTGGCTCAAGCGGTAGCACGCTCACCTGGCATGCGTGCAGCCCGGATTCAGACCTCAGCACCACATACCAACAAAGATGTTGTGTCCGCCGAGAACTAAAAAATAAATATTAAAAATTCTCTCTCTCTCTCTCTCTCTCTCTCCTCTCTCACTCTCTCTAAAAAAATAAATAAATGAATGAATAAAATGAAGTCCAGCAACATCAAAAAAATTTAGGGGCTGGGATTGTGGCTCAGCAGTAGAGCGCTCACCTAGCACATGCGAGGCCCTGGGTTCGATCCTCAGCACCACATAGAAGTAAATAAACAAAATAAATGTACTGGGTAAAAATAAAAAATAAATAGTAAAAAAAGTTTAAAAAGACAACTTATAGTCATGAGAGTTCAATATGAAGAAACTAATATTATTTACCTTCATAATAGATCTAAGGGTAAATATTATAGTATCATTTCTAATGGCAATAAAAAAGCATTTGACAAAATTATTAAATATTTGTTGAAAACATTCAATAAAATAGACTCAATAGGTATTTCCTGAATTTAATAAAACAAACATACACAAAACATGTGTATTTCAGCCCCAAATACAGCATGCTATTAGTACAGAAACATTAAAGCATGATTGTTAAAGTCACAAATAAAACAAGACATTCCACTGTTAGCATAAAAAAAATTGATTATACTACTAGAGGAATTACACAGGAAAAAAGAATCAGTGGAATGAAAGTTGGAGAGGAGATTATAAAATTGAAATCATTTGCTGATGATGTGATTCTATGCCTGGAAAGCCCTTGAGGATAAACTGAAAAATACTGTACACAACAAGAGGAATTCAGAAGAGTAACAAGGTCCAACATCTACTTGCAGTTATTAACAGACTTCACATACACAACAACTAACAGATTTTATAATGAAGGAGGTTTATAATGAAGGAGAAATCTGTTTTCTCTTGGTATAATAAAATTCCTGGAACTGGGTAATTTATAAAAGAAGGAGGCTTATTTTGGCTCATGGTTCTCAAGGCAAGATCCAAGCATACGCTCAGCTTCTGCTTAAATATTAAAATCCTGAAATCTGAAACCCCCCAAACCACAATTGCCATGATAAAAAAAAAAAGGCTGTTAGAAAGGGGTAGAAAGCTAAATTTTGAGGAAGGGGTTGGCCACATTTGGAATGACAAATGTGTCATCTGTCTGTATGACATGAGCATTCCTTATCAGATTTTCCTAACTTCTGGCCATGCTTCTGTGTTGTATGGAGGACCCAGGAGTCCTCTACATGCACTCTTGTACAGACAGACGACAAATTTGGTAGGAAAGAACTGGTGACAGAACAGCAACACTGTTGGGTAATTGTCTTCTATTCCAATGGTGCACATAATTATTTTTTAACAAGTCACTAATTTTGCTGGCTTCTTCAGGCAAATGTGGCAAGTCATTAAAAGCTCCTGGAATTCCATCAGCTAGAGAGAATACCAATAATGACAAATGGCTTTTTTTTGAGATGGGGGGGAGGTCTCATTGTGTCATACATGTGACCTCAAACTTGTGGCCCTCCTGCTCCTTCTTTAATCCTAAGAAGCTGGAATTACAGACACATGCCACCACACGTGGTTACATGATCAAACCCTAACCAGAATTTGGCTTTCTCACACTATCACATAGCTCTCTCTTTTTCATGGAACAATGACCCAAACTTGATGAAAAACGCACCTGAACAGAAGCAAACATTTCTAAAATGTTCATCAGATAATTAAACACCGAAGCTAAGAGTATCAGAGATGCACCTATTTCATGAAAACACAGGTGACTTCCAAGTATTGGATGAACTGGCAGGTGGATTTCAAAGTCAGTTTCCAAATCTTTGGTGAGACTGTATTTATTCTGTACAGACAGAGATCTATTAGTACCATCTTGAGATGAATCTCAAGAGAGAAGAATTTCCCTTTTTATTTATTTATTTATTTATTTATTTATTTATTTATTTATTTATTTAGTTCTCGGTGGACACAACATCTTTGTTGGTATGTGGTGCTGAGGATGGAACCCGGGCCGCACGCATGCCAGGCAAGCTCGCTATCGCTTGAGCCACATCCCCAGCCCCAAGAGAGAAGAATTTCCTCGAGGAAGAAATGAGGTGTCTGGGGGCTGGGGATGTGGCTCAAGTGGTAGCACGCTTGCCTGGCATACCTGAGGCATTGTGTTCGATCCTCAGCACCACATAAAAATAAAATAAAGATATTGTGTCCACCTAAAACTAAAAACATAAATATTAAAAAAAAAAATGAGGTGTCTGTAAAAAACAGAAGTTTTCTTGAGCTGTATACCACCCTTCCCTTCCTTTGCAAGAAAAAAGGTGCTGAGAGGTAATATCTAAAGAGGGTAATAACAGGGTGTGGGAAATAACAGACGCTAAGATGAATGCTATTGCCACAGCCATGGTAAACTCCCAACTCTTTCTTTCTTGCAAGTGGGATGAACCCTTTGCAGATATGAAGGAAATCAGGTTTGAGAGCATGAGTGGTGCAGAGTCCTTGAATCTGAATGACTTACATATCAGCAGCTGGGAGTAAAGCCAAGACTTCTAAGGGGGAGAGAACAGAAACATAGCCATCTATCTCCTGGCTCCTAATGAAGACCAACATCCAAGAGCAGAAAGTGGAAAAAATGCCAAAGCACAAGAGAGGAGTGAAAATGAAGAGCAGAGAGTATGAAATTATAAGAGACAGGGACCTCGCTTGTTTCTTTTTATATCCCTAGATACTAACAGAGCACAGGGCCTGACATACAGGTACTCATGGAATGCTTATTGAATGAATGATGGAATAATGAAATGCAAATGAGGGAAATACATGGGAGCAAGGAGGGCAGATCTGAAGCCCTATGATCTGGGTTCAAATCCAGCCTCACCCCTTACTGCCTGTGGGACATTTGAACAAATTATTTAACTTCTTCAGGCTTTAGGTTTTTCATGCATCAAGTGAACTAATGGGATACCGTATATTTAAGAAACATAAAATATATAGAGTGTAGCATAATTTTGACAGATGCTTTTTATGATTATTATCTCATGTTCTATTACATTGTCTTATACTGAAAATAAATATACTTAAAATATAGAAAAATTGTTAAAATACTACTGTAGAAGTTCATGCCAGAATAATAATGCAAAAAAAGAAACAAAAGGAATGAAAATTAGAAAAGGAGTAAAATTATCTCTTCGCAGATGACACAATCATATGTATAGAACCCTCCCCTAAAAAACTTAGATGTAATAAATGAATCCAATTGAATTTAAAGATACAGGATCAAGATACAAAAAGATACAAAAATCATCCATGCTTTGATAGAGTGTCAATGAGCAATCTGCAGAGAAAGTTGAGAAAATAAATCTAATTATAGCAGCATCCAAAAGAATAAAATATTTAGGAATAAATTTAGCCAAAAAAGTAAAAGAGTTGTACCTTTAAAACTGCTATCATTACTATAAGAAACTGAAGACCTAAGTAAATAGAAAGGTAATCGTGTTCATAGATGGGAAGACTTAATACTGTTAAGGTGGCCATACTGTTCAAAGCAGTCTTATAGATTCAATGCAATTCTGGTCCAAATGCTAATGATCTTTCATGCAGAAATGGAAAACGTGATGATCAAATTCATATGAAATTAAGCCTCAAAAAGCCAAAATAATATTTAAAAAGAACAAAGTCAGAGAATTCACACTTCCTAATTTCAATCCTTACTACAAAGTTATAGCAATCGAGGCAGTGTGGTACAGTCCTAAAGACAGACATACAGGCCAAAAAACAGATATGACAGTCCAGGAAAAAAGCCCATATATGTATAGCTAAGTGATTTTCAACAAGATTGCCAACCAAGGTCATTCAGTGGAGAAAGAACAGTCCTTTCAACAAAAGCTGCTCATTTTTTCTAGGTGATTCTACCTGAGTTTCAGGCCTGATCTAACTAGCTCATCAGCTAGGGGGCTGTTCTGTCAAGCCAGAAGTACACAGATGTTCCCTGTAGCTTCTCACAGGCCCTCTGTCCTTCTCTTCTGCTGTACTTAGCCCAACAGAAGTTGACTAGTTGTATAATTAATCATTTAATCTTGGGCTCATTTTGAGGACAGAAACATGTTTATTTTGTCCAATATTGCATTTACAGTGTATTTGTACAAAGGAGGCACTGAATATAAATGGGGAGATATTTTTTCCTATTCCACAGGACATATTTCTAATCAATTGCTTTATATTTCAAGCAGTTTATCTTAATGTGACAAAGTGAGAGTCAAAGTTAAGTCCCTGAGGACTGAATCACATACCTATTATCCCAAGTTTAGCAGCAAACATCAGAGACACTCCAATTGGAAAACCAAAAATGTAGTAACCAATGGCGTTCAAGATAGCACCGATCTTCTGTTTTCCTATACCTCTCAGCACTCCACCGCAGGTGCCCTAAGGGGAGGAGAACCAACACCAACTTTGCAGTCACGCAGCTGTCATCAAGTACTGAGTAGTGCATTAGTATCTCACAAGTCTGTCATGCTCAAATAGTCTGTCTCAAAGCAGACCTCGCACATATGTAAGAGATAAAGGAAAACACTTCGCTTCTAAAATTGTGATAACAGACTGGGGATGTAGCTCAGTGATAGAGCACTTGCCTAGCATGCAAGGGGCCCTGGGTTCCATCCTCAGCACCACAAAAATAAAGAATAAATAAAAAGAAATAAATAAATTTAAGTTATTTTAACAGCAGCAACAACAACGACAACAAAAAATAAAACCACAAAAACTTTACTCAGAAAAATCATCAGGTAACATAATTTAAATTTCTATTTATCTTGACTACTTGACTATCTTGCAAATCTGGCTACTCACAATAGCCAAATCATATAATTGCCCAGATACCATCAATCGATGAATGGATCAAGAAAGCATGGTATATATACCCAATGGAGTTTTACTCAGCCACAAAGAAGAATGAAATTATGGCATTTGCTGGTAAATGGGTGGAAATGGACAATATCATGCTAAGTGAAATAAGCCAGACTCAGAAAATCAGGAGTCAAATGTTTTCTCATATGTGTTAGCTAGAGAAAAATAAGAGAAGAAAGGTGGGGAAGGGGTATGAGGAGGTGGGGGTGAGAGACATCATAAAGATACAGGGAAGATGAGTGGAGTGGAAGAAGATGGAGGGGGAGGGTTCAGGGACAGGAAAGGGGGACAGGAATATGGAATGAATTTAACAAAATCATGTTATGTGCATATATAACACTGGGAATTTCACCTTTTTGTATATGTAGAAAGTACCAATCAAAAATAAACAAACAAGTGAAAGGAAGATCAGTAGAGAAAGAATAGAGGAAGGGAGAAGGGGAGGAACAGGAACTGAAATCAAATTCCATGCATGTATAATTTTGTCCAAATGATCCCACCTATAATGCTCTAATTTTTAAAAAATGAAAAACATTTGTTCTCTAAAGGAAAAAAAATAAATCAAAATAAAAATATTTTGTAGTCAGGCATGGTGGTGCACATGTGTAATCCCAGTGACTTAGGAGGCTAAGATACAAGGATCACAAGTTTGAGGCCAGCCTCAGTAACTTAGCAAGGCCTAACCAACTTAGCAAGATCCTATCTCAAAATAAAAAATTAAAAGGACTGGGGCTGTGGCTCAGCACCTCTGAGTTTAATCCTCAGTACCAAAAAATTTTAAAAAATAATATTTTGTAAAATCATATACAAAAAAAAGGATTTATAGGCTTCATTGATGGTATCTCAAACAGAAATTGGTCTAAAATTATAGCCAAAAAATATTAATGCAATTGTGAGCTTCTTTTCCATACTCTTCTTACCACTTGCTGTGTTCAGTCACAGGCATCACATCTTCAGAGTAATATGGGAAAAAATCAAGAAATTCCATGGGGGTGGTGTGGGGAGCAAGATGACAAAAGGGCCTAGGAACCATGAAGAATAATTGTTCAAACTGAGAAGAAGCCTTCAGGGGTGATTCTGCAGTCCAGCCTATATAGGGTCTTCAGATACCCACAGATCCAAAAAAGACCAAACTAGAGAAAGACCTTCTAGTGGTCAGAAGTAATTTAAAGGCATCCTGGCAGGCCTAAGAGGACAGGAGTCACCCCTTGTCTAGATGGCCCTTAGGGCAGAGGAGGAGATGGAGAACTCAATCTCCTCCACCTTGTGAGGCTACACATTCAAGTAACTCATCTTTCCCTCAAGTGGCCCAGACTGCTTGAAGCAAGAGCTCACTCTTCTTAAAAATGAAATAGCAGATATTTATTTTTAATTAAAAAATTTAGAAACACAAAACACATTTTGTTATGTACATTAGAGTAAGATCACTCCAAATACTCACTGCAAGTGCATCAAATAGATGAAAGGGAGCAAAAATCGGCATCACTTGGCTCACAAGGGAAATAATATCCCTGTTGGAGGAAAAGAAAGTAGTCAGTGATCTAAAAATCACAAACCTGACAATTCAATAAAAAAAAGAATTTCTTTTTGACAAATTAAGTACATAATAAAACCTCATTAATTCAAATTTTACTACATAGAATTTAGGTTAAAAGGGACATGGACAAAGCTGCCATTAGAGCATAATTCTTTTTTTTTTTGCATTTCAATTCTTATTACACATATACAGCATAATTTTTTTATATCTCTGGTTGTATACACCAATTCGTGTCTTCATACATGTACTCTGGATAGTAATGATCATCAGGTTCCACCATCATTAATAACTCCATGGCCCCTCCCTTCCCCTCCAACCCCTCTGCCCTATCTGGAGTTCGTCTATTCCTCCCATGCTGCCTCTCCCTATCTCACTATGAATCAGCTTCCTTATATGAGAGAAAATATTCGGCATTCGGTTTTAGAGCATGATTCTTAAAGCTCCATTTATGAGGAAGTAAATATGGGGGTTGGGAAGAAAAAGCAGGTTTCAATCTGTGTATAGAAAGCCTTCTCTGTATAAAGGAGTCTTCCTCAAAAATGGAGTTGAAAGCAGTATTCATATAGGTAACATTTTTCTCTTCAGGGATGCCCTGGACTCTTCATTTATGAAAGATCTGCCTACAGCTTCTGCAGAGGACATCTTGGAGCTCTGAAGGCACAGCAGGGACAGGGTCATTATGAATGAAATTCATGGAACAGGCCACAGCACCCTCTCCCAGAGAAAAGATTTCCTGCTCCCTCCCATGCACCTTCACAGGAAGCCTGATGGTCATCCAGAGCCACCAGGTTAGGCAAAGCCTGCAGTCACTTCTCTCACTCAGAGGAGTGACCTCTTTGGAACAGACCGGTAGGACTGCAGCCACCTAAATGTGCACTCCCTCCACTGATCAACACAATGATACGGTCTTTCATTTAAAAAATACAAACATGGAATTAATGCCCACCAGGAACTAAGGAAAATCAATAGCATATTTTTTTTTAAAAAAAGGAAAAATCAAAATAAGTATGATGACACAAAAGGAAGCAGGAAAAATGTAAGGAACTTGAGAAAAAATTTTAAATTGTCATTACTATTCTTAGTGACATTCAGGAGCTAACAGCAGGGAGTTAAGGAAAAGGGAGCCATTGGGCAAAAATAATTGGAGATGAAAAATGTGAACAATAAAATTTTACTTACAGACCAGATAATGAATGGTCATGGCTAAAGACTAAATTCCAGCTTGGAAAATAAAGTTGAGGAATGCCCCAAAACACAAAGAGAGATAAGGGAAAAGAGATGTTTTGGATTAATGAGTAAGTTCTATCATTTGTCTGAAAAGAATTCCAAAAGGAGAACAGAAAAATGCACAGGAGGGAGTAAATTAAAAAAAAAAAAAAAGTGCACAGCCAAGGACAAAATTATCTGAAAGACTTAAAAAAAAAAAAAGACTTCTACAAGAGAACGAGAGCCATATCAGCATTGGAAAGTCTATGCTCTCCCAGTGATATCATGGAAGATGGCAGAGAAGGAAGCTTAAGAATCAGCCTCTTCCCAAGCTACCACTGAACTGGTAAGAAATGTCAGAATCAGCCACTTCTGAACTCTGGAGTCCAGGCAAACACTTGCGAAATAAGGAGAGTGCTTGGTGAAGAGGCTGGTGAGAGCTGGTTAAGTCTGGCATTCAACAGAGCAGCTGTGTTTTCCCATTCTCCCAGTAGAATCTGGCAAATATTATCAGACCCCTTTTTTTCCCCCCAAACTCTAGAAATGAACCAAAGGCGCTTTAGGTGTCTGGGGCACTTATTCAAGACAAGCAGCTGAGGGGCTGGGGTCATGGCTCAGTAGTAGAGCATTTGCCTAGGACCTGTGAGGCACTGGGCTCAATCCTCGGCATCACATAAAAAATAAAATAAAGGTATTGTGTCTATCTACAACTAAAACAAATGTTTAACAACAGTGGCTGAATATTGGTGAGAACAGCAAGCTTTGTGATGTTGTAACTTATCCTAATGTTTCCTGCCAACAAGGACACCTTGAACTTTAACAGCTTATGTTCCATGACCTGAGGAAGAACAGGCTGGCTCTTTTGAAGCCTTGTTCACAAAGCACAATTATTATATCCCAGACAGACCACATGTCTGGTGGTTTCCTAGAAAACCCTACTTGGAAGACCGTCTTTATTTCACCTGATTCAAACTTGCCCAGGGCTAAATTCAATCTTTGAGGGATTGTACATGTTGGAAACCTGTGCAAGCAAATGTTTTAGCTGACTGCCCCAGGCAGAGGATAACAGTTTGGGTTATGGGTGAAATAGATAGGAAGATTTTAACTCAAAATAAGGATGATATCCTGACAATCACTGCTAGCAAATTCTTCATCACTAAAGTTATATAAGTATAAGCTACAGGGTCTACAAATATATTTTGGAGGAATCCCAGTATCGGATGGGTATTTACATTAAATAGCTCTTTGGGTCTCTTTAATGCTAAGATTTTTTTCAAATCTAGGTTTTTTTGGCATTATGTTTTAAAATTTTCTTCTGTCAATAGAGGAGAGCCTCTGTTTGGGGAAATTCTAATACATGATTTTAAGGCCATTCACAGCCTGCTGATACTCTCTATTCATTTTTCTTTCCAGTCTTTTCTATCTACATTTTATTTAGGATATTTACTATTGCTGTATATTTAAATTCCTTATGTTTTTCTTCTATGGTATCTAATGTGCTGTTAATGTCATCTAATATTCTGTTCAATTTGGTTTTATTTTGTTTTTTATATCTTTGATGTCTCACTTCAACATGCTCATATATTTCTCCCCTATCTTCTTTGTTTCATTTTGTTGTTCCTCTTCTACCTTCTTTTTTAAAAATTTTTTTTTAGTTATAGATGGACACAATACCTCTATTTTATTTATTTTTATGTGATGCTGAGGATCAAACCTAGTGTGTCATATGTGTGAGGCAAGCACTCTGCCACTGAGCCACAACCCCAGCCCTATGAAGCTATGAATCATAGTTTTAAAATCTGTTCTAATATCCTTGTATAGGAGTAATTCAGTTCTCTGTTTCATTTCTGGGTCATTTTCCATTGACTGATATCTCCCTTCATTACAGATTTTTAGTTTCTTGCTTCTATGTTTGCCTGGTCTGGTCATTTTTTTAGATTTTTTTTTTTTTTTTTTTAGTTGTAGGTGGACACAATGCTTTTATTTTTATTTATTTATTTTTATGTGGTGCTGAGGATCAAATCCAGTACCTCAGCCACGCTGGGCCAGCGCTCTACCACTGAGCCCCAGCCCCAGCCCTGCCTGGTCATTTTTAATTGTCTGCTAGGTGTTATAAATTTTATGTGGTTGAGTCCAGCACATCTATTCAAAGCTCCCATTTTATATACCCTTGAACTTTGATGAGGTTAAGTTTCCTAGAAACAGTCAGATACTTTCAAGGTTTGTACTTAGGCTTGGGTAGGCAAGATGGGAGCACCCTTGACAACTAGGACTAATTTTTTTCTTCTAGGCAACACCCTTCTGAAAACTGCACCAGATAATGTCCTATGTATTGAGGTTGTTCCATTCAGCTGGTGGTAACACAGACTCTTCCTAATCCTTTATAAACTCCGGGGATTATTCTGCCTGCTCCTTTTGGCCCCATTTTCCCTGAATCACATAAATACACAACTCAGTGGTCAGCTCAAGATCTAGAAAGACCTCTGAGGATCTTGAAAGTGCTCTCCATGGAGCTCTCTTCTCTCTGATGCTTTGTGAACTCCAATCACACGCCCCCCCTTGAACTCCCAACTGTGTTTCTTCATCCCGAGGGGGACAGAGGAGCTTTGCCGGGACATGAAATGTCCCCACAAAAATTCATGTGTTGGAGACTTGGTCCCCAGTGCAGAGGTGGAGCTTTTGGAAAGTAAATGGGTCACAAAGACTCTGGATTCTCCGTGGATGAATCCATTGGTAGCTGAATGAATTACTGCAAGGCAATGGAACCTAGGAAGTGGAACCTGATGAAGGAAAGCAGTTACTGGAGATTTGCCCTGAAGGGTATTTCTTATCCTCAGTCCCCTTCTCTGTATGTGTGTGTGTGTGAGTGTGTGTGTGTGTGTGTGTGTGTGTGTGTCTGTCTGTCTGTCTGTCTGTCTGTAGTTCGATTGGTTCTTCTGCCTGTTTCCCTCTCTCCCTCTCTTTTCCTGGCTCCCATGACCTGAGCAGCATACTTCTGCCACGATGTCCCACCCCACTCAGGCCCAAAGCCTAGAGCCAAATGACCATGGACTGAGAACTCTGAAACTGTGAGCCAAAATGAACCTTTCCTACCCTAAGTTGCTTTTCTCAGGTATTTGTCACAGCAAAGAAAAGCTGTCTGATACACCAGGGCTTCCCCTTCCTGGCTTGAAAACCCTCTTCCAGTGAGCTGAGCCGATCGAGGCTTCTCTTCATTACATTTCCCTCTCAGGAATAACTCTTCTGTGCTGTCTACTGTCTAAGGCATAAAACACATTTTTAAAATACCTATTTTTTGTCTAGTTTTTTGTTGTTTAAGGCATGAAGATAAAACCAGTCCCTGTTTCTCCATCTGACCACCTCCTTAGGCCTAAGATTTTTATGAGAATACATTCATGCTTTTGTTTAAAACCAGTGAGGTTGGACGAAACTGGGAGAGCACAACTTGTAAAAAATGAGACTGAATTTCTTCCCAACCGGAACCTGAGGCAACTGGTACAAATTATTCAAACTCTCCATGAAAAAAGAATTTTTTTTTCCAGGCTGGGGAAGGAACTCAGGACTACAAGAATGCTAGGCAAGTGCTCTACCACTGAGCCACACCTGCTGCCCATGAAGATTTTTTTTTTTTTACTGAAAAGACACACCAGCATACCTAAAAAAAATTATTCAAGCACATCGTTACAGAAAATGCAATACAATTGAGCCTAAGACAAAGTCAGTCATTTTTGCAAATACTGCCCAGAAAGAATCAGGCATGGGTACTGTCAGCATGCCCTGGACTGTAAGGTGCCTCTTTGTGGATGAGGATGTTACATGTACTCTTCCTGTACATCTGAGCAAAACTCCACTCAGGTCTGATGAGTAAATGGACTAGGTATGGGAGGAATGGGAATGGTTTTCTTGGGCTTTCTTCATTCTAACTCATTCACATAATTCTGTGTTTCTCATTCCTAGCTGCATGAAGAGCTTTCCTATGAAGGAAACTGCTATCCATCTCTCATAATCAGAAAAATATAGTGAAGAAAGAAAACCTAAAAGCAATGGCATTTTTATCCATGAGTACATACTTATCACTGGTGAAAATGTAGGCAACCACATCCTTCAAAGCTGCTAGCAGAACTCCCAGTGCAAGTGCACAAACACCTGGAAAGCATGGAAGAAGCCAAGAGGAAGTGATATAAAATGTGATTAAATCCTAGGGCTGACATCTCATGAAAGACTCTCATCAATGATTTGCAAGGCTGAAGCAGGAGGGTTGGCTGAGCCCACAAGTTTGAGGTAACATAGCAAGACCCCAACTCAAAAAAAAGTTTATAAGGTTAATAACGTGTCGTTTTGCTGTCTATGGAAAGGACAACTAAAATCTGGCAATTCTGACTTCTTTTTCTAAGGGAGACTGATCCTCAATAAGATTTCAACTGTGGTAGTTTGAATGGCTTTGTCCTCTTCAAAATTCATGTTGAAATTTAATCTCCAGTGAAACTGTGTTGGGGGGTGTGCTCTCTGGGAGGTGACTGGATCATGACAGCTGTGACCTGATGAATGGATTAGGTCTCCTTGGGCCCCTTTTCACCCTTCCATCCCTTCTGCCACAGGAGAATGAAAATCAAGTCTCCAGCTTGGAAGCAAAAAGCATCCTTCACTAGACAGCCAAACCGGCTGGAGTCTTGACCTTGGACTTCCCAGTCTGCATCCTCTTACAGCAGCACAAACAGGCCAGGCCATCAGTGCATCAGAATCTTTTACAACTGCTGAGATTTTAGGACACTGGAATAGCCAGAAGAGGTGATGGACCAGGAACATGGAGAGTTAGTCACTTGGACTATACTATCCTCATAAAGTCTGACTGCATATGATAATTGCCTTGGAAATTATTTCAGTCGAACCAAGCAGAACATTATTTACTTGGCATGTAGTAACAGAAAATTATAATTGGAAGATTGACTTAACTCAGTAAGTCAGAAAGAGCATAGTTGAGTGTATATATATGACTCAATTCGTTAAGATATTCTGATACACTGACTTTCACTTATCACACTAAATTCCTTAAAGACACCAGGAGGTTAGAAGCGCGTTACTCACTCGCACACAACAGAACAGAGGTACAGGAGCACCGAGCCTGCTCAGCATTCCCTGCTCCCAAAGCATTGCCCACTCGGACACTGGCGGCCACACCAAAGCCAAAAGGCACCTAGGAATTAACAAACATAAATCATAATTTTAAAAACCCCGAAAGTTCACACATTAGCACACTAGGGTTCATCTAGTCTCAGCATTCTGGGTTCTAGAAATAACTCTATTTCATCCCGTCTGTGTGGTGGGTGATAAAGGCTCAGCCTCCTTGACACCTGATTTCCTCACTGCAACTTCACAAATACCGGACGAGGACCTCTTAAGGAAGCCGGATTTGGGTGCAAAGCCCCTCCTTTACTGACACAACACCTTCATCATCATGACTTAATTTAAGCTAGCTATGCTCTTAAATGTAAGATTCAACTTAATATAAATCATAAATTATTTATAGAAAGGAAGGAACCATGTGAAAAACCACTTAGGACAGAGCCTGGCATACTATAGGAACTCAACAAATGTTGATGAAATCTGACCCCATAGCCCCCCTTTGATGGTGGGACAGATGAAACACTCCATGTCTGACCATCCAGACAGCTAGAATATGCCTCTTCAAAGGCCAAAACTTTATTGTAATTATCAGTTATGGAAATCTAAAGCTATACATTTCTTTGCTTCTCACATAGACCATTCAACCTTCAGTCATTATCTTGCAACATAGTGTGCCTTCAGGCTGTATGTGTAACATGGGTTGTATAGACAGCTTTGATTTTGGCTCTCATGTCTACTTTAAGAATTTATATATCAGCTTTAACTTCTTGTTTCTGCCATAAGCAGCATCCTCCCAACAACCTTCTAATTTGTTAATGTTTTGAAAACTAGCCTAAATTAATTATATGTATAATTAATTTATATTTAAATATATATTAATTATATAATTATATATATATCAATTATGTGTATATATTATTGTTAAGATTAAGAACTTGAGAAACAATAGATTTTGCTACCTAAAACCATGTAAGACCTGTGCCCAAAGTATGTGCCGTTGACTTTTCAGCTTAAGATGCATGACAGGCTTACATGCTTAACTCCCTTCCCTCCCCAAACATCATTCATAGAAAATTAATTTCCATGCTTTGTAGAGAGAAATTTATCGACAACACTGTGAATAGCAAAACAGCTTTTGGAAGAGGGTACTAGTGCCATGTTCCTGGGGTAGAATTGTCAGGATCCACAGCCAAGAATATAACAAAAGGCTGGATCATGCTCCTTCTTCCCAGTGGATCCCTCAGATTTTGAAGTCCCAGGTTCATCATCGAGGCAGGGAAAGCAGTATCCAGGGAGATGCCAATGAGGCCTATCTGAGCTCCCTCATACTCTCCACACACAGAAGGCTGGGATAACACAGAGAGGAACTGTGTGTGAGCTCCCTGTGTGCTCTGTGTACCCCAAATCAAGCCTTTCTCCTTTGTTTTAGGAAGTATGTAGACATGGGGTCAGGGTAGGACAGGAAGGTGGAGGTCAGACTACCTCTGCCTCATATCCACTCATTCATAACCCCTGGCCAGACACAGCAGCATATGCCTGAAATCCCAGCAACATGGGAGGCTAAGGGAGGAGGATCACAAGGTCAAGGCCCACCTGGAAAACTTAGTGAGACCATGACTCAAAATAAAAAAGCTGAGGGACACTGCTCTGTACCACAATCAATCAATCAATTAAAAATGAAGATGTCACTTGAGAGAGATCACCTTTGCACCTAGCTTCCCACTGGTCCATCCCATTCAGGACAAAGACCTGTTGGAGAAAAATCTCCAAGTCACAGAATGGGAATTCAATGCCAGCCATTTATTTTATGAATCCATGTATTCGCTCACGCAAAAGTATAAATGGGTCATTCAGATCACCAGAGCTTTGAGGGAAACTGAAACACACATTCCTCCAAGAAGATCAGGATAAATAAAAGGCTACTTGACCTCAGAGGAAACAAAACTGATAACTTAAGGAGCAGAAAAGAATATTTAAAAGTTCAATTTAATATCCTCAGATACTTAAAGGTAGACTGTAGACTTAAGTCATGAAGAAAAAGAAAGAAATTCTGGAATGACAGCTGTGTACCGTGATAGAAAAAGTCTAGAAATCAGTGTATACAAATGAAAACAAGGAACCAAAGGGTCCTGAGATGTTTAAGGAAGAAAAATGGATTGACAGGTAATGGTTTGTTTAAACCCCAGATGATATTAGTAAGATGATGAAGGCATGTGCTACTTCTATCAGTAAGAGAAAAAGGCTATTAGAAATGCCAGAGAAATAAATAAAAAGCTGTACAAGAAAAGTCCTATCCTGCAGGCTGTGGTTGTGGCTCAGTGGTAGAGCGCTTGCCTGGCATGTGTGAGGCACTGGGTTGGATTCTCAGCACTGCATATAAGTCAATCAATCAATTAATTAATTAAAGTTCCCTCAACAACTAATAAAAACATTTTTAAAAATTCAAAATAAAGTCCTGTCCTAAATAGTAAACAAACTAAAATATGACCAACTGATGAAAACAAGAAAAAAATCATCAATTTAATCTTTTGCTCATAAAGTTCTCTTTCCACAGTTGAAGAGTTTTGGTAATTATTTGGACAGGATTTCCTTCTCATGTGTTGCAAGAACCATCACTTGGATATGCGAATTATCATATTTAAAAGAATCATATTGTTATTAATGTTGTTTTTTTCAGATGAACCCTAAAATACTAAAACATACATGTATAATATAAGGCATAAATCAAAGATTATAACCATCACAAAATAAAAACAAGAATATAGTAGCACAACATTGTGATTGAGACCAGGAACTCTGGAGCCAAGTCCCTGGGTTCAAATCCCAGCCAATTACTTCCTTGAACTAGGATCCCTCTTCCTCATCTATAAATATAAGGATTCCATGAGTTACTATTTGTAATTTAGATTAGTGGCCATCTCATATCTTGTGGCTGGTTGTTAAGTAGCTTGTGAAATTTGGAAGGCAAATGAGAAGAGATATAGAAAGAAACACAGTTACAAAATATTCCTCATCTTACAATTCAGGGAGTCAAGATACAGCATCTATAAAGTTGATAGATCAAGAAAAAGAAGCCTATGTTTATTATTAAAGTCATAAAAGTAACCACTAAGAGAATTAGAAGAAAAACCATAATGTAGAGGGAGATGCTGTGGGAAATGAGCTATATTCCTCATCTTTCTCAACAGAGTCAGTCTATAGTTATTTGGGTAAAGGTATTAAGAAATGTAGGTCCAAAAGTCTGGTAACAATGATCAGAAAATGGTTAAGTGGGATGGCTCAGGAACAGACTAATAAGACAGGACGAAAGTTTACTCTCACTTTTGTAAATTTCTGAACTAGGTGAACATATTATGTGTTCCTTAGTATGAATTGCTTTTATATTAATATGGTTTCCAGAAAGGGGCTAGGGATATAGCTCAGTTGGTAGAGTGCTTTCCTTGCATGCACAAGGCCCCAGGTTCAATCCCCAGCACCACAGGGGGGAAAAAAGATGGTTTTAAGAATATATATAAATTAAAATCTATGGGAGAAAAAACTACTGAGTCCTGGCTTTCATTCCCACAAAAATAATTAATCAGTTAATTAAAATAATGTGAATAATTTGTTACAGATGCAATTGACAGAAAACTGATAATCTTCTGGTTATACAGACTTCATACCTAGTTAAACATAAATATAGACAACCTCACTGACAAAAATTAAGACAAAATGCTCACTTTCATATATCAAGTTGCTAAATATTTTTAAATAAATTGAATTGTTTTCTTCATTTTCAGATTGTTCACGGCTAATATGTAGAAATGCAACAGAAGAGTGTGTATTGATCTTCTATCTTACAACTTTGCTGAAATCATTTATTAACTCTAGTAGTTTAAGGTATATATGTTTGTATCAGATTCTTGTAGTTTTCTATATAAAAGATCATGTCATTTGCAAATGGGGATAATTTTACTTTTTTTTTTCCTGATCTTTTTTTTTTTCCTTTCCAATCTGGATGTTTTTTATTTTTTTTTCTTGCCTCATTTTCCAAGCTAAAATCTCCAGCACAATGATTATTAGATTTTTAAAATATTTAGAATCATATCTTTAATCATCTTGCTCTGTCTCTGTATTATGTCCCTGAATACTGTGTCTATACCAGCCTCCTACTCTCTCTCCCTGGAATTCCCACACATATATAATGATCTACACCATTCATACATTCTATCTCTCTACACGCCTTTGTTTTATTCTGAGGAATGTCTCTACATCTATCCTCAAGTTCACTATTGATTCTTTTTAGCTGTGACTAACCAGCTATTTTTCATATCCAATATTAGATTTCAATGACTTTATTTTCTAATTCTCAAAGTTCTACTTGGTTCTTTTGCAAATATTGTTTTTTTTTTTGTTTCAATTCTTTCTTTTATGTCTAATTATTTGGAACATAATAATTTTCTAGTCTCTTTCTTACTACTACATCATTATCTCAAAATCTGAACTCTAGTTTTCCTGTTTTATCTGTTAACTCTTGCTTTTGTCTTTTTTTTAATATAATTTTATTGTGAACTCACCACTAAGAAAGCTTTGCTTTCTCCTGGGAATAATGAAGAATTATTACCTTCCTGTTTCTCTCAAAAGGAAGTCTGTGACAAAACAGAAAGTAGGTGGTGGGTGCCAGGAACTAGGGCTGGGGACGAGAGGTGGGGAGCTTGATGGTGGATGCATAGTTTCCATGCTGCAATATGAAAAGTCTGTAAATGGTCACATAATAGTGTGAGTGTAATTAACATGCTGAGATTCACACTTAACAATTAAGACAGTATCTTATGTTAGATATATTTTACCACAATTAAAAATAAAAAATGTAAAGAAACGGGAAGTGTGTGACAGAGCAGATAGAAAAACAGATCTGAAGACAGAATTAGTAGATGTCTCCTGTTTATCAAACAGCTCTACTATCACCATTTAAAATCAGAAATAGCAGGGCATGGTGGTGCATGCCTGTAATCCTAGCAACTGGGGAGGTAAGAGGACCATGCTGTTCAAAGCCAGCCTCAGAAATTTAGCAAGGCCCTACATGATTTAGTGAGTCTCTGTCTCAAAATAAAAAATAAAAAGGGATGGGTATGTGACCTCAGTGGTTAAGTGCCCCTGGGTTCAATCCCCAGTTCCAAAATACCTACACACATACATATGTACAGAAGCAAAATCAAAGCCCTCCCCTGATACCACACATCCCAACTCTGACAAGCAAAGTTAACATTTATGCAGAACTGTCTACCCGAGGAGCCTCTCTCTGTTCCTTTACCTACCTTGAAAGTCATTCATTCAAATCTGGCTATACCTCTTCATTGCTCCATGAGGTCCCTAATGGCCTTACCCCTAAACCCAGTGGATGTTCTCCAACCTCCCACTACACTACATCCCAGTCTCCCTCAGCCGGCTCCTCTGTCTCTTTGCTGAGTTTCCTTCTGTTCCTGCCCTCTCCATGTTGGGCTGGCTCCTGACACTCTTTATTTTTATTCCCAGCTGATCACATGAATACCCATTAAAATTTGTTTCACTTTTAAGATTAAAGAAAAAAACCAGGAAACAAAAACGATCTGTAGTCCAACTTCCCAGAGAGCCTCTCAATCTTTTAAAAACAAGAAGCAGCTGCTCACACCTGTAATCCCAGTGACTGGGCCGGTCAGCATGGGGCAGGTTGCCGAAAGAGAGGTTCACAAGACTCAGCAACTTAACAAGACCCTGTCTCACAATAAAAAGTAAAAAGGATTGGGTATTTGGCTCCTCTGGGTTCAAGTACCAGCACACACACACACACACACACACACACAAAGAAACAGACAAAACAATGGGAGTTTCCCAGTTTCCCATATGTATGGGCTGGGAATATCAAAAAAGCATCAGAAGATAAGAGGCATTACCCTGCACAGCTGTGTGATTCTTCTCACTCCCTGCCTTGCATGCCACAACCAAACTCTGACCCTGGCTTTGACATTCTGCCTCCCCACACACCTAGTCATCTACTTCTCTTCTCCTTCACCTGGACCATTCCAGCAGCCTCCTCTGTCCTTTCCACTCCCACCTACAATTCTTACCCCGAAGCCAGCTTCTACACAGGCGAAGAATGTTGTTCCTTGACCTGGGACCACAGGCCCTGTGTGCTCCCTCCAACTTTCTCTCAATAACCCTCAATAAGCCTTCAGCAATGCCAGGTACAGTTCCATCATGGGGCCTTGGCTCAGGCTGCACTGTTGACTCCCACCTGTGGGCTCCCCAGGCCAGCTTCTGTCATCCTTCATGTCCCAGTTTAAACAGTGACACACAGAGACCCTCCCTCACTACCTGATCTAAAAGGCATCTGCCTCTGTTTTCATGTATCTCAGACCATTTTTTGCTTTTTTATGGTGCTTATCATACATATATGATATTTGCAATGCTCATATTTGTCTTTATTTATTTATTTATTTTCTTCTTTATCTCTGTCTCCTCTCTGAGTCACAACTACAAAAAAACAAAAGCTGTCCCCATCTCACTCACCATCCTATTCCAGCACTAACTCCATATTGGTTGAATGTATATGCCAGGTATCATGTTAAGTATCATATGCAGTATCTCATTCAATCTTCACCTGAAAAGTAGGTATTTCCCCCCATTTTGTATAGGAGGAGACTAAATGTCAGGAAGGTTCAGTAAGGAGCCCATACCACATAGTCAGGGAATGCTATGGCTAGGACTCAACTTCATATGTCTGGTCCCCAATCCATCCATGCTGTTTCCATAATGCAATTCTCTCTCTCTCTCTCTCTCTCTCTCTCTCTCTCTCTCTCTCTCTCTCACAGCAATGATGACGGCCCACAGGGTTCATGAAGTAGGGCTGAGTCTTACCCCATAGGTCTTACCATGTAGGCTGCAGAGGCCAGTTCATAAATGACAGCCTGGGCTCCAAGCTCAGTCACATTAATCAGCCCTGAAAGGTTGACACATGCAGAAGACATTCAAAACTTCAATTAAAACAAGCATTTTCCCTAGAAAACTAGGACACCTTTTAATTTGAGAGAAGCCAACCATGCCCCAGAAGCATCATTTGAAGGTAGAATTCACTGTCAGATTGTTCCGAGAAGAACCCCAGACATCTTTTCCTGGGGAAGTTGCCAAGATTTCAGGCAGCTAAGATTGACACATTCATTTTACAAGCCCCTGCTCCACCAGGGAATAAAACATGGGGTTCAAAGTAGAAAAGGCTCCTAGGTTGCAGGCCATTCCCAGGAGATGTGGGGTCATAGTGTGGAAGGGGAAGGCAGAAGGGCAAACTCTATGCATAGCTGCTAGGATCACTACCGCGTACCACTGGGCACAACCTGCTCTGTTACCTTGTCCTCTATTTGATCTATCATGTTACTAGTGATCCGATGGCTAAAATGAATACCAATGGCTCAAATCATCACAATTCAGTAAACATGCAGGTCATAGCTAAAACAGAGCCAAATCAATGACTCTGCATTTGTTAAGTCTTAAAAACTTGGCTGGAAGTCAGGTGAGATAGTGCACATCAGTACTCAGGAGGCCAAGGCAGGAGGATGGCGTGAGGCCAGAAGTTCAAGGTCAGCCTAGGCAACATAGAGAGACTTCAACAACAACAAAATAGCCAGACGCTTAGGAAAAGTCAAATGAGACACAAGGCAGGCCGAGTTGGGAGACCTGGGTTGGAGGTTTTGTTTTCCCACTCCATGACTCTTGGCAAACCCTTTGCCGGCCACCTCCTTTTCCTTATTTACAAAATATAGGGTGGGTCAGTAGTGCTACAGTCCCATCCAATCCAAATTTGGTTGGTGAAAAGTTTATGCCTGTATTAAAAACCTCCATGAGAGCCTGATAAGATGGTGCAGGATGGAGATGCGATACTTTAGTTTCTAGAAAAGCTTTGGAGATGTGACTCGCCAGGCTGGGCATAGGTGTCCACTGGACTGCTGACAGACCTGCGAGGAAGGTTCCAACCTCGAAGGTCCACCACTCGATGCACAGCATGAACATACTGGGAATAGCCAAGTGGATGTAGGCACCCCACTCCTGGAAGCACTCCCTCGTCCAACCTGCAGATCAGGGAACAAAACAGATATTCATTGTATTCTCTGATAATAACCATTCTATTCAGATACCGGCCTCTTCCACATGGTCAGAGGCTGTAAGTAGCTTCTGAGTAGTCTCCAGCAAAACATAAAGATGTCAAAGAGGACCAGGGTTTAAGATGGCAGGCACTAAACTGTCAATGTTTAGTGAGACTAAAGTATATTTATGCCCTTATCATGTCATGAGCCATCCACAGGCTGTGTGTGTGAGCTATGTGCATTTGAGTTATATGAGGGGTGTTGCATGCTGATTGGGGTGTGCAACACAGTGTGCACACCCTGTGCACTCTACTTGTGATCCCACGCAGCACCTGAGATGGGTGTGACTTGCCAAGATGTCAATCAATCTGCTGACCACAAGATAACACCAAGCAAGACTCCACCTTTCAAAATCCTATCTCCTGCCTTAATTTGGTGAAGAACATTCCATTGAAGCTCCTTTGTGTGTCCCCGCTGTAAAATAATGAGATCCCGAGTGCACGCTCTCTTTCTAGCACTGTCCTGCATGGAAGCTGACCCCTTAAAGTTGCAGAGCTGTCCTGCCCTAGAGCTGAGAAACTCATGTCTGTGTTTTGTGTGATTTCTTTGCTGTTTTCTTAGGTCAAAACAGCCAGATCCTTTGAACCCAGCTCATCTCATCAGCCCAGCCAACTGGTGGGACTATCATACGTATATCCATATGTGCCACTCCTGGATATAAATGGCAAAGAAAGTTTTGTGTTACTCCATAAAAAATGTAGGCTACACATTGTGCAGACTGTGGCCGTGGAGTGTGAGAGACAACAAGGAGACATCAAGAGAGAACTAGAG